GAATTAGAGTGAAGTAAAAGACTCCATCTATTGTATTGAAATGAATTGAAGAGCTAATAAAAGTTTACTGAACAACTACCATGTAAGAGGTTCATAGCTAGCTATTATGGGAATATACAGATGAATACAGCAGAGCCCTTACTACTTTGAGGAACTAACAACAACAAAATGTTTTAAAAGCACACAGGAAAGTGAAATCAATTCTGGATGGGGGAAGGAACAGATAGATATAAGGGAGAAATCTTAGAAAAATTAACGGAAAACGTTTTAAAAAGCATGTGAAATGGGCCTCATAGAACAAACAGGATTTTAATACTGACAGGCAAAAATACACAATAAGTCAAGCACTTCACTTTAAAACCACCTTTACTTCATCTCCCAATTCTTCTAGTTAACTAAGGCCAATGAAAAGAATTCTCTTTAATACATGGTTCCAAAATGAATAGAGATTTTAATATTACTTACTGTTAAAGAAATAACAACAAAATGATTACAAGAATTATCTAATAAAATGGGGGATATCATAACTATTGTTTTGATTTTAGATAGAACAAAACTATGCATAAAAATATTCAGCTTATATCAGAACATCTTAAAATCTGTTTAAATCTAGTGCTTAAGGCTAAAATGGAAGGGGAAAAAAAACAAAAATTAAACTTACCTGCCACATTCTAGACTCAAGTCATAATTGTGGTAAACTAGCTAGCTATATACAGCTCAAAACTAAACTCTTAAGAGTTTATAATGATTTTGAATGTACTATGTTTAGAAACAAAGAGAATGCTGGGAGCCATTAAATTTTTCAGAAAATATTGTCTTCCTAGATTCAAAACAAATGATCTACTGGCAAAAGTAATTCTTTAGAAAACTGAATTCTCTGATGAAGTAGTCACTTCATTTAATGAAGTACACAGTTTTTTAATAACATTAAAAAAATCTTGCAGATTCTTTTTTTTATTCTGTTTTTTATAAAACAGGGCCTTAAAATATATTCAGGGCTGGCCCCGTGGCTTAGTGGTTAAGTGCGCGCGCTCTGCTGCTGGCAGCCCGGGTTCGGATCCCGGGCCCGCACTGACGCGCCGCTTCTCCGGCCATGCTGAGGCCGCGTCCCACATACAGCAACTAGAAGGATGTGCAGCTATGACATACAACTATCTACTGGGGCTTTGGAGGAAAATAAACAAATAAATAAAAAAAAATTATAAAAAAAAAATATATTCAACCTATACTCTTCAGGTAATCTTTTTTCAATAAATCTTTTTCAGATTCACTGAGCACTCCCTCCCTAGAATATTTACTAAATCAATAAACTTCCATAAATTACTTTCTGGTGAGATCTTTTTATGCATAACCAAAATGTTTGCTTTTATTTTAATTCTATGATAACAATGAGAAATTAGAAATCTATTTACTTACCACTAAGCAATTCTATACCACCTATTCATTTTGTGTGTATACCGCAAACAGTGGATTTATTCATGAAAACTGGTATTCAAATCAAATTATACTTTAAATGTAGAGATGATTTTTATTACTTGTGGCAGTTATGTTCTATAAAGTCACCACAAACAATGACTTAGTGAATACTGAACCATTGCTCCTAGGGGAAATATAGGGTTAGGTTCCTACAAGCCTCTGATCACAACATTTTCATCCACTGATCAATATGTAACCTTCTTCTATGTGTGTTTCTGTTTAAAGACACACCTTATATATATTGATGATTCATTAACACTGACCTCACGGCTAATAGTACTTTAACTCATGCCTGAAGAAAACTGATCTAATATTATCTCCATATAGCACATCATAGCCTTCTTGCATTTAGGAACACTGGACAGAACTTCAGCACTATGCTTGGAGGCATAAAACCAGTGAAATCACCAATAAAAAGCACAGGGCCATGGTGGCATAGTGGTTAAGTTTGCGAGCTCCACTTTGGTGGCCCAGGGTTCACAGGTTCTGACCCTGGGCACGCACCTACACACCACTCATCAAGCCATGCTGTGGCAGCATCTCATATACAAAATAGAGGAAGACAGGCAACGGATGTTAGCTCAGGGCCAATCTGCCTCACAAAAAAAAAAAAAGCATAAAAATGCAAAAAATGTGGCACTAAATAGAGCACAAAGAGGACACTTGTTTACAGTAGGAGAGCTGAAAACAAGAAGGCAAGAGTCACCTTATTTAACCACAGGTGGGAAAGTGTGCATCAGTCAACTCAAATTTTTCGCCACTCGGTGCATGTCTATAAATGACTGTGAAACTGTTGTATTGATTTTGGACTTACAAATAAATTTGAAACAGGAGACATTCACAAAAACAGAATGTGCAAATAATGAGGAGTGACCGTATAAAGAAAGCCCAATTAAATAAATCTCATGGGAAACACTTTACTACTTCAACCCTGTCAATTTTGTAAATGCAAGGGTTTACTTATTGGTTATCAAAGAAAAGGCAAAACTTTATGACACTGTTTTTAAATTGTCACACAAAAACACCCCATTGAAGCATTCTAGAAGTTTTCAGATGAAGAGAAAAGATGGAAAAATTATTTAAAATTTACTGCCTATTCTTTAAAAACAGTCATTGGGGGAAAATACTATAGAAAGATATCAAAAACTGCAGCTTTAACAACATAATTTCTTATGAACTATCTTCTAATATCTTTTTGGGGGAAAATTAGATATATTTACCCATTATTATTACACATTAAAAAGTTCATAAGGATAAAAGTATCCTGAAGTATTAAAGCAATAAGATATAAGATGTAAATTATGATATATTAAGCTACAAAGGCATGAAAAGACAATTAGCGTAGACAATTAAAAATGAACACATAACATATATTCAAGCAAAGTACCTCAGTAAAATAAAAATAATCAACTTAAAATTCTCTTAATTTTAATTTAATTTATTTAAAATATTATCCAACATAACCATAATGTGTGTCCCGTTTGCATTTCTACTCTCCATAACAAAATTTAGATACATATATAAACATAATCTATTCACACTGGTACTTGAAATCTGTATTAGCAAAAATGAAAACAGCCAGATACATTAATTATTAAGACCAGAAGAAAATCTGAGAGCTAGAAATCAAATCAAATAAAAGCCGCCAATGTTTTTTCCTTTTAATTTTCAGATGATGTTCTCCAAAGCATGTTTTGGGCAACAAAAAACTAGAAAAATTTGTCTTTTAATAGAGGACTTATTTACATCATGGAATAGTATGCAGTCTTTAATAAGAAATAAGCTAGAATATATATATACACACGCACACGCTCACATATGTACACATACACACCATATATATGTGTGTGTATATATGGCCTTCAATTAAAAATGGGAAAAATATATATATGTATTAAATGTCTATAACATATTAGTAAGGGGAAAAAAGGCAAGTCACAGAATATTGTGTATAACATGATTCCTTCTTGGGGCGAGCCCGGTGGCGTAGCGGTTAAGTTCGCACGCTCTTCTTTGGCAGCCCAGGGTTCGCCAGTTCAGATCCTGGGCGCGGACCTATGCACTGTTCATCAAGCCGTGCTGAGGTGGCGTCCCACATAGAGCAACTAAAAGGATGCACAACCATGACATACAACAATCTACTGGGACTTTGGGGAGAAAAAAGGAAAAAAAGGAGGAAGATTGGCAACAGATGTTAGCTCAAGGCCAATCTTCCAAAAAAAAAAAAAAAACAAATATGATTCCTTCTTGAAAAACAAGAAACATAATTTGCTTATATATGCATATACATTAAACTGCTAATGAGGAAGAGACCTTGGCACTTCCATTTTTTGTAACAAGCATGTATAAGTTTTATAAGCATACAGTAGATTCTCAACAAGTGTTAAATTTTCTTGTTATGGTTATTTTAAAAATAAAATAATGTGATATAAAATTCATGCTGTTTGAAAATGACTCCTATAATCTTAATTTATTCAGGTAAATTCTGCTAAATAACTAGAAACAGTATTTCCTAGTTCAAAGAATTTCAGTAAATGGTCTCAAAATTCAACACTGATCAATCCCCCAACTGAAATGTTTAATGATTTGTAATAGAGTCAGTAAACTTTTCCTGTAAGGGCTAGACAGTAAATATTCTTCTTTGTTTTTGTTTTACGACCCTTTAGGAATATAAAAAAGACAATCTTCACTCAGATCCACAAAAAACAGGCCGCAGGCTGGATTTTCCTCGCCAGCCAAAGTTTGCCAACTACTGATTTATAACAACAAATCAGCATCTGCAAGTCTGATATTTCAACTATATTACACCAAAGGCATCAGAGATCACAATAGGGTCAGTTTTATTCTACATTAAATAAAGTAAGGTAGCACTATAGCAATTAAAATTACAAGCTGATTAATACATTGAATTCTATTAATATGCTAGACACTAATCAAATAATGGGAAAACATAGTAAATGAAATTTCAAGTATTCGTATTATATATAACCATGATCATGTGTGCACCCGCAAAGCACACATATCCACTTGAAAACGGCAGCTGAAATTGAAATACTACACAATCAAAGCTCAAATCTCCTTTTATAATAATTAAAACCACTTATTTAAATAATCAAAACTAGTCAGTCATTTGTTTCAGATGTCATCAACACTTGAAAATTAAGAACTAAATACAGAGGCTAGTAGTAATTACTGGGTTTTAATTTTTTAATTTGTAAGGGTTACCGTACAATATCAATCAACAATCTAAAACATTACACTTTAAAAGTTTATATTCTTGGCAACTTTTTAATATTTACTGTGTCAGCAACCATCACTGGAAACTTGACTATACTTTTTTTCTTTGTCTAAAGACAGCTTTTACATATTTGATTTTGTCTAAAACTGAATGCTCCTTATTATCATCTAGATGCTACTACCAAATCTAAGTTTCATTATGAACAATAAACTGGGTCAAATTAAAACTCTAAAATGAAAATGTATCCCCCCAAAGTAATGAAATAACCATTATAGAATAATCTTACCTAGACTGGTGGGTTTTATCAGTTCATCCAATAAATCATAAAATGGTAATTTTTGAAGTTTTATATCCGGATGGACTGGGTGAAGAGCTGACGTAAGATGCGGGAGTTCCAGTTCATGTTTAGGTCCCAGAAGAGAAACAGGGAGTAACGGTGATGATGCAGGGTGACCATCATAAGTGAGTTGTGGAATGGTAGATGGAGACAAAGTTGCTGGCATAGGACTTGAATGTACGTTGGGGATGGACAAGTCCGCGGGCGTCATGATTTTCTGGGGGAACCTCCGCCTATAGAGTTCTTTAATTTTCATTTGTACAGCAGGACTGCAGCCAGCCTTTAGCAAATGAAGGGCTTTTGTGAGAAGTTCGTGTTTGCGTCCGTGCTTGTTTCTCCCAGCGTAGCCCAACAGTACTTGGAGTTCAGAAACTCTAAGGCTCATAACCATTTGCTTAGAGACAAAACAAAATATAAAACATTAGTGTTCCAATAATATAATTTACAATACTAGACAATACTTTATTATAATCCTTTCTCCTTATGGTTTGCTTAAAGGCTGGCTCACTTACAGTCAATTCCAGTTACTTCAAACTTAAAATTTAATCATTTAACATAAATAACCAATGAAATTTAAAGTTAATATTCACAAATTCACTGACTTCTATCCAGGGCGTAAAGGTGAAAGTATACACCAGGCAGAACCACATCTCACCTCATTCCACTGTTTTGATGAAACCGTCAGGTATTTATCAAGCACTTATTGAGTCTCCAAGAGAGTGCTGAGTGCTATGCGACTAGCAAAAGATAATAATGAGCCCTCAAGAACATTGGTTTTCTTGGGGGAAATTATATAAGTATATAGGAAACACACGAACAGCCCACCTCAAACACCAGATGTAGGCAGGTTATAAATAACATATTATAAAAAGTATTATATACTATTCTAACTCTGAAATTTGTAGGACTTACACTATACCTTTTTTGACCCATTATATACCAGATACATTTGATATTTTCAAGAGTTGTCACTAAGTCTTTACAACTCCACAAGGAGTTATCCTTTTTGCTTTACATAGGAAGACACTAGTTAAGAAAGGTTAAATAACTTACCTATGGCCACAAAGCTACTAAGTAGCAGTCAGAATTCAAACCCAGATACGTATGATTCTAAAGCCCATGCTCGTTCCACTAAACCATTAGGAAAAGGACGGAGCTGGAAACATATTATTGATTCACTCTGCTGGCAAGTCCAGGCTATAAAGTCCAGGAATTCAATCCACATGCCACAATGCATAAGGCTGTAGTAAAGAAATCTATTTAACTTTGTTTAACCCTGTGTTCCCAAACTTATTTGGTCACTGCTTCTCTTGCCTCAACTACCAAGAGACTGCCAACAGGAAATGCCCAACAATACCAATCCTCTCATTTTAAAGTAGAGGAAAATGGAATCCAAAGAGAAGAAATGGCTTACCCAGGATCATACAGCTATTAACAGCAGAATCCTGACTTGATCACCACTAACAGGGAGGTGTTAGGATGGAAGACACTTGTAAGCTTACCATTTGCTCTCTATTTCCCCAACTGTTTTATCCCATCACCTCATACCAAATACCAATACACAAAAGCTAAGCTGCCATCCCTAATTTACCACCACTCCCTGAGATGACACCTTCCTCCAGCCAATCATCTAGAAGTTCTTTGCAAATTGCAAAATATATAATTAAGTAAAAATAAAATAGTGAGAAAAAAATGTATAAAGAGCTTTATATGCATTAGAGCTGGTTAATCAAAGAAATGTGAGCTCTTCCCCTAGTTCTGGCTTGGAAAATGCTTTGTGTCCTCAAAGTCCAGCTTTCATGAGCCTTTGCCCTTCAGGCCTGGCAAAACCAACGACTCTCTCCTCACTATTTTTACAGGCCATTTTTCATATCTTTATCTTAGCACTTATCTTGCTGAATTATAATCTTCTGTTTATACAAGTAATTCTATGACCAGACTGAGGTCATCTAGGGCATAAGGTCATGTTACCCTTAGCATCAAACACTAGGGCCTGACAACAGTAGTAACTCATCAAATGCCTGGACAATGAACAAATGAATGAATGAATGAACAAAATAAACAAGAAAGCCACACCAGAAGAAAGGGTGGGGTGGAATCTACAGTGATAAGTTATACGTATAACTGTAATATAAATCCAAATGAATTCCAAAACTCTTATGTTCTCTATAAGGTGTACAAAGATATAATATAGGTCTTAAAAACAAATTCTACCCCAAATCCTATAAATGTTTCTCTTTTTAGATAATATTATCAGAGATTATTATAATTACTAACTACGTCAGCAGGATACCAATTTCTCCCTACTATCCAAAATGTCCTAAGAGTACAAAATGGTTTTAAAGATTTTTATTACTAATTTTAAAAGGAACAGGGACTTCAACAGAAAAGCACCATATTGATAAGTAAACTGCTTTTAGAGAAATAATATGAATTATGCTTCAAAGACTATAGGTTAAAAATAAGTTTAAGTTGGCATTGGTCAAATGTACTTCATTTTACAGGAAAACAGTACACATTTAGAAAGAGAAGGTCTTTCCATTTCAATTCAACTCCATTATCTTAAGTCAAACACAAACAAAAACCACAAACTCTTCATTGATGACAGCTTTCATCCCTACTCTATGGGTGTAAGAATTTAAATGCAGCACAGATGTATTATTGTTCTATTTTTATGGAAAAACACATTGACAATTCACATAAAATAAAATCTTCTGCTTGATGGTCAAAAGAAAATAGTTAATGACATAAGCATAATTTTTATTTTTGTTTTCACAGGATGCCTACTTAATCATCACAATTATGAAGTAGGTATTGTCCTCATTTTACAGGTGGGAAAACTGAGGCCTAGGAAGGTTAAAAATTTGCTGAATGTTGCACTACTAGTTCTATTCCAAATGTGCTTTTACACTATGATACTGTGTTTTAGAGGAAATAAACCACATGCCTTTTAATTAGGAAACAGAAAAACCTTTTCAAAGATTAATTTATTTAACATTCAATCTCCATTTCAAGCTTCAACACTCCAATTTAAAAAAAAATTGGTGGTTAAGAAAAGATGGGCTGGCCTGGCGGCTTAGCGGTTAAGTGCGCGCGCTCCGCTACTGGTGGCCCAGGTTCGGATCCCGGGCGCGCACTGACGCACCGCTTCTCCAGCCATGCTGAGGCCGTGTCCCACATACAGCAACTAGAAGGATGTGCAACTATGACATACAACTATCTACTGGGGCTTTGGTGGGGGGGGAGTGGGGAAGGAGAAGCATTGGCAATAGATGTTAGCTCAGAGCCGGTCTTCCTCAGCAAAAAAAAGAGGAGGATTAGCAATGGATGTTAGCTCAGGGCTGATCTTCCTCACACACACAAAAAGATAAGAAAAGAATGCATCTGGATTCAAATTAACCATTGTACCTTATAATCAGGTATAGTGAAAGATGAGGTGCTATCGACTGCTATTATTGGAGCAGCTGCTGCATACTCCTAAGGACTGTAATAACCATGCAGTATTTTAAAAAACTAAATAAAAGGGAGCAGGAAACACAAATATCTGAAGCATCACTCAACTGAAAAGCTTCAGAGAAGCATGAAGCAGTCAATTCACAATGTAAAGTGTTGACAACATAGAGGAAAACTAAACACTTACATCTGAGATGTTGAAATGTAATATATTTTGATCTGTCATTTGCCTAAAAATCTCCATTTGCTAGCACTACAACAAAATGAATATTTATAACTAAGGATAACATCAACCACTGCTGCTACCAGAAATCACTACCTCCTCAGATAGCATTCTGCTGACTCGACATCCCCAAATGACGTAGTTCTCAGAATCCTAGGGAATTTAGAAAGCCTGAGAAATGTATATATTCTGTATAGAAAGCATTCTGTGAGGGACATCTTTTTTAAATTAATTTTTTTAAATCAGACAGACATGCACACAGTTTAAAAAGTCAAACAGTTTTACAAGAAAAACAGATGTCCCTTGCCTTGCCCCCATTTTTCACATCCCTGAGGCAACAACTTTCAAGTCTTTTTAGCTATTTCTTCTGGCATTTTTCACTATATTCTATGTGGAGTAGGTCTATTTGGCTATTTCTTAGTTTTTCCTTTTAGGCAAAAATGACTTCCTATTATAAAAGATAGTTTATTTAGCTCTGTTACATCTGCTCTACCCCCATCTTCCCATCATAATTTTTGGTTAAATCAATTGTTGATGTTTATGTTATTACTATGGCTGTAAATAATATTCACAGCTGAGCCAAAAGTACATTATGATTACTCTTTCTTTTTTGTCTGACCTTGCTTTCTTATAGTTAATAACTGCACCATTTTTGCATTTGCTTAGTTCTCTATGTAACTACTGCTAATTCATCTGCAACCTGTGCTAAAAGTGTAACTCTCCTTTCAACATATTCAAATACATCAGGTAAATCTGTTTCAATTTCTTTCTTAAAAATATACCTCCTGTGGGGCCAGCCCAGTGGCATAGTGGTTAAGTTTGCATGCTCCACTTCGGCAGCCCAGAGTTTGCAGGTTTGGATCCTGAGTGCAGACCTATACAACACTTGTCAAGCCATGCTGTGGCAGCGTCCCACATATAAAATAGAGGAAGACTGGCACAGATGTTAGCTCAAGGACAATCTTCCTCAAGCAAAAGGAGGAGGATTGGCAACAGATGTTAGCTCAGGGCCAGTCTTCCTCACCAAAAAATAAAATAAAATAAATACATATACCTCCTGTAACCCTCCATCAGGTTCCAATTTGGACTGCTTGCTCTCTAGGCCTAGTTCACAACTATGGTCATGGAATTTCCCTTTAACTTATCCTGGGAATTCTCTTGTCTCTCTTCCATATTGGATCCTCTGTTTCCTTGATCTCACTTCTTCCTCTTGATTTTCTTTTTAGTAGAGTATTTCCTCCAGTAGCTTCCTAAGAAGGGAGCATGGGAGGTATATTTTTTCTTCCTCACATTGTCTAAAAATATCTTCATTTACCCATACTTAATAATTGAGTTTGGCTCAGTATAGGATTCTAGACAGGAAAGCATGTTCTATCAGAATTTTGAGGGCCTTTGCTCATCATCTTCTGGCTTCCAGTGTTGCTGTTAAGCCTGGCACCATTCTGATCCCCAATTCTTCATAGTCACCTGTATATTCCCCTCGGGAAGCTGAGAGAAGCTCCTCTTTATATGTTCTGAAATTTTACAACGCTGTCTTGGGGTTGGGTAGGTTTTTTTGGTTTTTTTAACTGCATGAACCGATAATTAGTGAGTCTTTTGAATTTAGAGATGCATGTCCTTCAGTTCTGGGAAGTTTTCCAACAATAATCTTCCTTTAACTTTTTTCTATTCTCTTTCTTGTATACCTATTATTTAGATACTGGCCTTCCTAGACTGAT